TAACTAATTGGTTAATTTTTTACTTGATTCATGTTTGTTTGTTTTTTTCAAGTACAACATAAAATTGTGCAAACTCGATCCTAGAATAGGAAGTGGCAGAAATAACATATACAAAAATTGTACTAGGACAGACAGAGAGAGTTCATAGACAGACAGAGGGAGTTCATAGACAGAGGGAGTTCATAGACAGACAGAGGGAGTTCATAGACAGACAGAGGGAGTTCATAGACAGACAGAAGGAGTTCATAGGCAGACAGAGGAAGTTCATAGGCTGACAGAGGGAGTTCATAGGCAGACAGAGGGAGTTCATAGGCAGACAGAGGGAGTTCATAGGCAGACAGAGGGAGTTCATAGGCAGACAGAGGGAGTTCATAGGCAGACAGAGGGAGTTCATAGGCAGACAGAGGGAGTTCATAGGCAGACAGAGGGAGTTCATAGACAGACAGAGGGAGCTTTAAAAAAGGGATCCTTATTAATAAAAAAAAAATAGAAAACCGTCCGATATTTCTACATACAAATGGAGAATTTTTTAAAAAATAATTATAAAATTGGTATACTGTTGTAGACCCAATAATATAAACTACTTTAAAGTTAATACAACCGTATAGTGTAAGTGTATAGTGGTGTATATAGTATATAGTTAGTATATACATCTCTGTGTCATTAGTGACACTTTTAAATAAGTGTCCTCTGTGACGTAGTTCTCTATTTTAAAAAAATGCTTTATAATTTGAGGTGTTTATTTCTGGCGTTTATTTATAGTGTCTGGTTAACAATTGTTTTATTGTAGGCTGCGCTGTCTCTATTTGGAATGATTGGTGGACCACTGCTAGGACTGTTTTCGTTGGGAATGTTTTTTCCTTGGGCCAACAAATGGGTAAGTTGATATTTATTTCTGAAACAAGCTAGATCTAGTGTGGTTTTTTTGTGAAGAATTATTTTTGAAACAAGCTAGATCTAAGTTTTTTTTGTGGAGAATTATTTGTGAAACAAGCTAGATCTAAGTTTTTTTTGTTGAGATTTTATTCTGAAACAACCTAGGTCTAGAGTTGGTAAGTTGAGACACATTTCATCTGGTCCCCAATCGTACCCGCTGCTATTCCCTACCTTTCTGTAAAGTAAAAAAAAAAAGTAAAGTTCCACTTTAAGACCTTGCGATCTATTAGGGCAGATGATGTTAAGGTCATCTATTTCTTTGACCAATGGCTAACGAGCAGGGTATCATTTTGCCAGTACAATGACCAACCGCTTTTACTTTCCCCAACTGAAGTTGGGTACCCACTAGAGTTGGGTGGACTCAAGGGCGCCCTTAAAAACCCGAAATTCAAAATCCCAGTCTTCAACGACATTATAACCCAGGACCCCATGTTCGGAAGCCAAGCGCTTAACCACTCGACCACCGCGAGCCCTCTAATTGAAGTGAAAAACAAATGAATATGAAAAACTGCTTTTTATCTAAACATGTATACTAGATCTCACAGAATTTCAAGATTTCGAAAACGTATTTCACATCATGAGTACATTTATAAGGCACCTGCGCACTCAGTAGTTTTTTTTATAGCTTCTTGGTAGCCTCTTGATAACCTCTTGATTGCCTCTTGTAGCATCATGATTGCCTCTTGATAGCTTCTTGGTATCCTTTAAATAGTCTCTTGACGGCCTCTTGGTAGCATCTTGATAGACTCTTGGTAGCATTTTGGTAGTCTCTTGATTTCCTTTGATAACCTCTTGATAGTCTCTTGATTGCCTCTTCCTCCTGGTGGATTGATAGGACTATGAAGAAATTCATGGTTCTCACTTAGACACAAGAAATGTCAAGTGACTAACGTAAAAGTATCCCACAATGCCCAGTGTATGACCTAGATTGTTTGGATTACATACCTACGAATTTCCCAGGGCGCCTATGCAGGATTGTTTGGCAGTCTGATTCTCATGTTTTGGATTGGCGTCGGGGCCAGTGTAGTGAAACCACCAAACGAACAAGCTCTTCGCTTCACTAACAACTGCAACTTGAGCGCCTTCAGTCTGGATGCCTTAATGTCTATGAATAAAACAACGACGACAGTTGTGGACGACACGTAAGTCAGGGGCAGACAACTTGTTTTTCTTTTTAGTTTGATATTGACATTTGAAGCTGACACTTAAGGGTCGTTTTAAATTAGAATTACTTAGATATAAATAAATCAATACAATAGAATCAATACAATAGAATCAATACAATAGAATCAATACAATAGAATCAATACAATAGAATCAATACAAGAGAATCAATACAAATCAGAACATTGTTTCTTTTCCCTCCTATTCCCTTCCTTTAAAGAAAACAAAAACGAGACTATACATTTCTATTTCTACTTTTCTAAAATCATATGCACTCTCTGATAACACTTAGTGACGTTACATTTTAAATTGACGCTACCAATCCTATTATAAAGTTGGTATTATTGAAATATAATTACACTGAAATTTTTTTTTTTTTTTTTTTTTTGGTAAAGAACCACACTTATGACTCATTTCTTTTTTACACTTTTTTTTTTTTAGAGTTCCGGCCTATGGTCTGTACACGCTGTCCTATATGTGGTATAGTTTAACAGCGGTATTAGCCTGTATAGTCATTGGCTTAGCAGTCAGTTTTATAACAGGTAAAGGGTTAAGTGTACTTTGTCAACTACTTCAGCTAGAAACATCGGAACTAAGAGTTATATGATCATTGAAACCAGTGATGCCAAACCTACGGAACCGGGGCCAAATCTGGCCGCACAAAACCTCTGCCAATAGTGCATGATAAAGCCAAAGAGCTTTGTTCAATTAGACTCAAACATTTTAATTACCAACGGTTATATGAGCCCCCACTCTGTTGGTCCTGTACAGAGTTGGTCAACTTTACTTCTCCCACACCCAATCTCGGATCATGTTCAAACTTTGCACACAATTATTCGATATAACTAGCAAAACATGAATCAATTTAAAAAATATAACAAATTAGTAAATAAATTATTGGTAATTAATTATTTTTTTTTGGAATCGAAAGCATGCTGTATAAGTGAAGTTATTCCTTATATTTTGTTTTGTACACATTTTCCCCCCACTTCCCAATCTCGAATCCAATAGTCAAATATGAATCAATCCAAAATATTAACCAGTTAGTTTAATAACTTAGTATTCTAGAAAAAGGAAGCTAAACCCTGCATTATTCAGATAAATTGCAGTGATTCTGCGATGCTTTCCCTAGTATTTTTTTTGTTTAGTTTTTTTTTATATTTTGCTTTTTTTTCGCGATTTTTTTGGTGAGATTGAAATGTATTTGGCCGCGAGACCGAACAAGTATAGGGCACCATTGGTTTCAACTCAATTCTAGATAAGCAAAAAAAAATTATTAATTACAAGATTTAGCTTTCTAAGGTACAACAATACATACTGGAACTAAGAGTCTAACTATTAAGTACATTGGAATAAAAGATTACCTTTCCATCACTTCTATTAGTTTAGAAATTCTTTCTATAAGACCAACATTATTTTGTAGCCAATATAATGGGTAGTGAAGACACTACCGCTACTAATCCAAGATGTTTACTTTGTTACACCAGGTGCAGTGAAAGCCAAAGAAATCGACCCAAAATTGATGTGCCCCTTATTCGACGTCATATTTCCTTTTTCATTTCTGCCTGAAAGTATCAGGAAGCCCCTGCGATTAGGAGTTCAATATAAATCGCAGGTAAGTTTATGTTAAGTTACATCCAGAGGCGCTGTGGCTGGGTGGTTAAGTGCTTGGCTTCCCAACCTGGTGTCCAGTGAAGACTGGGATTTTGAATTTTGGAATTTTTAGGGCCACCCGACTCTAACTGGTACCTGACTTGAGTTGGGGAAAGTAAAGACGCTTGGTCGTTGTGCTGGCCACGTGATACCCTGCTCGTTAACCGTAAGCCAGAGAAAATAATGACATTAACATCATCTGTCCTATAGATCTCAAGGTATGAAAAGGGAACGTGCATCCACAATGGTTATGTTGAAGTCCTTGGTAAATTCAAGTCTATCATGCAACACTGTTTTTGTTGTACATTGGTTCATAAATCAGTGAGCTTGTTCATTATTTCATATGTTGAGTAAGGATTTTCATAGCTTATATTATCATTGATTGGTTCATAGCTTGTTCACTGGTTTTAAATGTTCAGGTAAAATTGTCCCAGCATTCTTTGCACTTACTTAAGCATTTATTATAAATCATATACATAGTACTCTAATACCACTTAACGGCTTCTGTTTGGTTAATGACGGCAACTATCACAGTAGTTCTGGAATGTTGAAACTTTTGGCTTTATATCAGAGCATTATTTTACCTATATGCACCGTCCACAGGCGTCCACCCTATCGTTGAACATAATCTTCAAGATTTGAATGCATATTTGATTTATGGTCTCCTTCAATCTTTACATGAAAGGCCGGCACGTCACGATGTGTCAGGTAGTGTGTATCAACGTATGCGCTTTGGGTTGTAAAAAAAAATAATGAATGCACTCAAAATAGCTCTATCCTATTTAAATGTAATTTTAGTGTCCAAATTAAATGCAAATTTTAACTTCCTTCCCACAGACGGAGAAAAGTGAAACTCTTCCAAATGGACACAACTTGAAGGAGAACGAAAAAGGCCAAACACTATCAAATGGTCACAGCTTGACAGACAAGCCCCAAGACCTTGACATCAAAATAATCGTCACCAAATCAAGTGAGGAGCGCCTGGACAATATAGCGAATGGCAGGCCAACAGGCCACTCCGACATCGGCCATGCTTGTTACACCAACATCCTGGCCACCAGCATTAGCAGCGAAAGTCTTCAGAAATACGACACTCCTTTATAATGGTAGCGAGAGCCTTCAGAGTTAGGACACCCCTCTAGGACAGTGTCGTCAACTCTGAAAATAAACTGGAGGTGAAGAGTAAAATAATGAGAGGCTTCACTAAGAACCTGTGGCGTCGCTGGTGGAGAGGGGAGGGGCTTAGCGGGGGGGGGGGGGGAGGTACGGACGAACCGTACCATGTGACACTTAACAGGGCCTGACACAAAAAGTAAATTTTTAAAAATTTGTTATTTTTAATTGTATGTTATTTATTTATTATTATCTTGTGCAGAGAAGATAATATTTTAAAAGAAAAAAGTAATGGTTTATATTTATAAAAAAAATATTTTGGTAAAATATTACTGTGGCGGGGTAACACATTTTTAACTAACAATACCGGATTTCAACAGTCCTAGCGATGCCTCTGTAAAGGACATTCTTATACAATCGAACTCGTTTAATTGCATAGCTAGCCTGCAAGGAGCTGCTGAATGAGTCCAAGTGAAAGAATATAATATGCATTTGTATTGTTTAAAATTGTAAACGATTATCCGAACATTGCCATTATGTGATATGCTTTTAATCGGGTTCCACTGTACTTCATCGAGTTGAAACTACAAACATTATGATCGATCACAATCAATTGTCCTACAAGCAGCGAGTCTGTGTACTTATGTAGGCCATAGTCACATACTCTGCTTGGTGAGAATAATTTATTCGGCACAAAAATATATTGTTTATAGTGTTTAGAGGCGGCCTTGGCAGTAGGCAAGGCCCTGGACAAGTGTCTTAATAAGGGCCTTATACTAACTGTAAGCTTAATACCTTACTAATAGCCTTCGCTCTAATTAACATAGATGCTGGAAAGGCTTCAACACTATTGAGTTATTGAGTAATAACAAGCCATTGTGTAGGAGAAATGTTTTCCCAATAGATTTACCACGCTGTATGGAGAATTCCAGGGTGTACTGGTATATGATGGCCTGATGGGGACATATGGATCTCCAATACACAGCCTTTGCTCAGACGCGGGAACTTAAAGGTCCCGCAATCTTGTTCGTCACCACCAAAGGCCACCACTTTAGTTTTCTTTGGTATTATTAATATTTCAAAATGGTAGAATATTTTATTTTCATTGTATATATAATTTTATATTATGTTAAGTAGTGCTTTACTTATGTAATATTTCTGTAATACTGCCTTTGTAAATTCTTGTCCCTTGTGTTCTTGATTACCCGGTATTGTATTTAATAAAGTTATTTACGGTGCATCATTAATGTTTTTACAGCAAATATTTATCCCCTTTCTAATACTAGACCAAGATTACAATCTAAATGCGATCTAGTATTAGTCGTACGTTAATTAATCCAACTTCTCGTACCTGACCTAGATTTCATAAATAACAGTAGACTTAGTACTAGAGTTCAAATGCAATGAAGACCCGCGGCCCACTCCCAACATTATAGGGAGATTTGAACCATTACTTACTGTACTTTGTGAAATGTTTTTATTAAACTTTGACAAGACCATTTCTGTATTTTTGTAATCTAAGTGTTTTAAAATGGAATTCATCAGTCACTAGAGTCACTACTATGTCTTTTGTTGGTTTTATATGTCTTTATAGTGGACATAATCAAGTCCATGGCCAGATCTTTCTACATGTTGTATTAAATGAAACGAACCTCAGTGCTTAGAGCTTGACCAGCTGACCAATATCTAGTCCAAATACTCATCCATAAAATAAACCTATTGTTAAAGTTAATCTTCATGACTCCATCACTAATCATTGAAGTTATTCTTTGAACGAAGCAGTAAAATAAATGCTTGTATTTTCTGCTTTAAAGTAAATCTTACATGAAAAATAAAAAAAATAACATAAGGTAGCGATTGATAACAGCATAAAATGTGGTCACAATGCTCCCGCCCTGCTACAGTCTCACAAGTCTACTCTATCAAACTGTTACACGGAGAGACGGTGTGTTTAAAATAGACTTTCACATCTGTTCTACTTATTGAACTTTTACCAAACCCACTCACTAGACGAGATGGCACTATGGCCAGACTATGTTGAAGGCAGGACTGAGGCGACTTTTAGATTTTCTTTTTAAACCTCAACGTTGACGTCGCCTGTTACCAAATTCAATGAAGTAAATAACTGTGGTTCTCAAACTGTGGTACGCGGACCATCAAGGGTCCGCGAGAAGACCGTAGGGGTCCACAGAAAGATGAAAATTGTAAACAATTATAATAACTTCTTCGCTAAAAGCCAGTTTAATCCGATAAAATAATTTGAATAATAAATAACTAGTCACTCACTACTGTTAACAATGTTCTATTACGAACTATTCTAGACCATTGTTGAGGCAGCTTGGCAAAACGAAAATAAGAGATATAAGTCCTGTGGTAGAATTACATTTTGCGCTTGAATATTACATTATTTTACAAACTTATTAATCGTTGTAATAAAACCTCAGCTATATATGGCCATTCAAAGACGTAGACAACACGGCGTGATCACCTTTTATGGTTTATTATTACATTTTACAGTAGTACTTCGTGTTAGTTCAATTGTTTTTCACACACCCATCTAACCGTTAGATCATGGACAAATAGTTGACGCGTCAGTTGTCATCTGAAGAAGAGCAAGACATTTATGGGAATGGTGACAATGTACTGAGACACGATGCCGTAAGAGGCCTCACAGCGTGAGGCGAAATTGCGTAAAATATTCCTGAATATTTACAATTTGGATTTCTTCCATACAAAGGCAAAAGCCACAATGTGTCATATGTCTCGATGTGTTATCGAACGAACGTTTGAAATATGCTATTTGGGCATGACGGGGGTCCGCTTACATAGTATGGCTTGTAAATTGGTCCCTGAGCTGTAAAGGTTTGAGAACCTCTGTCATACGGTAATATAGCCTGACGCTTAGTGATGCTCTTCATTCAAAATTATAATGCGGTTTGATTTTTAACCCTTAAAGTGCAGAGCTGTTTGGCAATGAAGACATACAAAATGAAATTACAATGTTCATGCTTAGAGGCTAAACTACCACACGCATCATAAGGGTTAAGAGAAGAGCAGCAATGCTTTCAAATAGTGTAATTAGACCTACCTGGGTATTACAGTGTCCAACAATGCCGTCACTGTCCTGAGAAATAGACAACCGTCTCGCAAAGGCCAACCACACTTTTGATCGCATCAAACTGAGAGTATGGCGGAATAGATCTCTTCATCTAGCAACAAAAATCAATGTTTATAAAGCAATGGTTCTCATCACACTTTTGTATGGCTCCTAGACTTGGGTTCCGTATCGAAGCTGCCCCCCACCCCCCGTTAAGTGCTATTAAGATCAACTCAGGCGCCACTTCTCCCTCACGGGCACAGAGGAAATCAGCCTGCAGCAGATGGCCTTTATAAAAGACAGTTGGAAGGCTCTCATGAAATGAAGACTGCGGAACACACATTTGAGACCCAAAGAAAGCCATTATTCAAGACAGGCGCAGAAGATGGAAAGAAAACTTAAGTAGGCCGCCGGTGGACGACGGCTTTGTCTTCACGAGATGCGAAAGAAAATGCAGGTAGCAAGTTCGCAACTGGGTTTGAGTAGTCATGTGAAGCACTGCACTCATCCTTTATCTTTGGAATCGAGGACATTCCCATTATTATTTTACAGTTACAAAGAAGTACTCCTCTTATTCAGCAACCATCTCTATATCGAAAATAGAAGATACCAATTGCTTATGTTGTTACGTTATTAACTAGAGAAATTATATAAACATCTCTATTTTCGCAATTTATCCTCATCAAATTATATTAGTCATTACAGTTGATGCCGAAACACTATCAAAAGCATATTTTAAAAATCAACCAGGGCTCTTAAAATTAGGCTAACCAAAAAACTAAAGCTCCAGCCACAGATCCAAGATTCTGAACTTATATCTAAAGCTCTAACCACAGACCCAAGCCTCTAGCTACAAACTCAACTCTCTAATCATAAATGCAAGGCTTTTAAAACAGATAAAGGCTCGAATAATAGACCCTAGTATCTAACACAGACAAATGCTCAAATAACAAACTCAAAGCCCTAACAAAACAATGATTTTGAAAAACAAATCCAATACTCTAAACACAGACCTCTCCTGGACACATCTCTCCAACACAGACCTCTCCTGGACACATCTCTCCAACACAGACCTCTCTGGACATATCTCTCCAACACAGACTTCCCCTGGACACATCTTTCTAACACAGATCTCTCCTGGACACATCTCTCCAACACAAACACAAACCTCTCCTGCACACATTTCTCCAACACAAACCTCTCCTAGACACATCTCTCCAACACAGATCTCTCCCGGACACATCTCTCCAACACAGACCTCTCCCGGACACATCTATCCAACACAGACACAAATCTCTCCAGGACACATCTCTCCAACACAAACCTCTCCAGGACACATCTCTCCAACACAGACCTCTCCTGGACACATCTCTCCAATACAAACACAACCCTCCCCTGGACACATCTCTCCAACACAAACCTCTCCAGGACACATCTCTCCAACACAGACCTCTCCTGGACACATCTCTCCAATACAAACACAACCCTCCCCTGGACACATCTCTCCAACACAGACCTCCCCTGGACACATCTCTCCAATACAAACACAACCCTCCCCTGGACACATCTCTCCAACACAAACGAAACGTGTGAAAATAATTTAATGCACAACTTTTTTAAAGCGTTGTTTCCTAGTTAGTCTTGTTTGCACCTAATAGCATTGACTTCCTGTTGCAACAAAACATGGCGAACTTATTAAGGGTATCATTACAAATACGCTTTTTTTTTTTGTATTGTTATTTCATTACTTTAAGGTACACGAATTGCTGTCTTTAATGAACAATACATTAGAAACTTACAGGCTAAATGATGGACGAACAAAATAACAGCCAGGATTTTTAGATACGTCAGACTTAGACTCCATAGAGGTGTTCAATCTTCAATCTAAACTACTTCATTAGACTTAGATCTAGACTTTAGATCCTAGATTAAGTCCCTTACCTCTAGGCAACAAATACTCGAAGTGAACCGGACAAACTCACAAACTTCAAAAAAACTTGAACAATAGAGTCGTGAGATGTAAAGCAACGAATGGTCACATTTGAATACAGTAATACTATTAATAAAGTCACTAAATTTAGAGACCGTTCAGAACGAGTAGCAATAATCGTAAAATGCTTAACCATAAAATACAAAGAAAAGACCTGATAAAATACTCAGAAAGACACCAAGGCGCATTTCTTATTCCAAATGCTAAGACAAATTTGTACAAGTGCTCTTCCCTAGTGCTATGAAAGCATGGAATGGGTTGCCTGAGCTAGCCAGGAAAACCAACCACTTGGCATATTTCAAGTCAGTGATTAACATGCCTGACTAGATTGACCCATGGATACTGCGTAGGACGTGATTATCTTCTCTTTTGAAGTCACGTCTGTAATGTAACACCTTCACCTTCACAATTACCTAACCCTTAGTCTCACACACAATTTTATTTTTCAACTATCTTTCTTCATTCCTCTATGTCTTTTGCCTTGGATAGAACCTTTTTCAATGGCAGGCCCATCCATTCTTTTTCCTGGTACTGTTACCTGAAGGAAGATCTTTGCAAGCCCCGAAAACCTTGAAATATGGCCATGTCTCTACTCTTCTCGTTTGTGGTGCGGTCTTTAAATGTAACTTATACAATAAGTAGAACTAATTAAGCGTATATATTATGCTTTTGTATCACACTCAAGGTTCTATTCCATTTCTTGAGCTGAGTTGAGCTGTTTATCAAAACAAATTGTAAGTATAAGTAATGTATAAAAGCGCCCCCCCCCACCCAAACCAAAACGTAGATGCTTACATTCCCTCATTGGAAAAGTTTGCCTTCCATTTATTTAAAGTCTTAGAGCACATTAAAGTTGCATTGAAAAGTATTCTAACAATTTGTCATGTCCCTGTTAGGTAAAGCAGGAAGTTTAGTATTGTTGTGAGAATGTGAATGTTTATCTTACTTCTGTATCGTAAACTGCAAGAGCGATTCCAGTAACGCCATCCAAGAATGTCCACCAACACGGGTCCTCAAAGTCCAATCTTCTATGGAGGTTACAGCTTCAACACCGGCAAAGTCAGGCAGTTCCAGGCTGTTGACTACACGATGTTTGCCGCCGTCCTGGTATTCTCTGGCGCCATCGGGATGTACCACGCCATCAACGACCGCAAGAAGAAGACGCTGGAGCAGTTCTTCCTGGCCGGCAAGGACATGAACCCTGTGCCCGTCGGCCTTTCCATGCTGGCCAGCTTCATGCCGGCCATCACCTTCCTTGGCTTGCCCGCAGAGATTTACACCTACAACATTATGTCGGTTTGGATAGGGTTGAGCTACTTCTTGGTCATGGCAGTGGCTGCTCAGGTCTACATTCCCATCTTCTACCACCTGCAGGTGACTAGCTGTTTCCAGGTGAGAGGTTTGTGTCTTCTTTTACATGTTTTTAGTCTTACTTGTAACAACCATTTAAACAAAAATGAAGATGCTACTATTCTAAAACCAACTGTTTACGAACATTCGGTTGCCGTTATGGACACTTCTGTTACTATAACTCGGGATTAGTTTAATAATTTGTTTGTAGGAGGGTGTAGTATTAGCAATACTAAAAAGACATATAATTCTACATGGATTAGCCTCGTGTGATCTATTTAAGTTTCAAATTACTA